TGGAACTTTAGGAAACTAAAACGAATAAATAAAATAAGAAAAGATGTAAAATTATCAAATAAGTTGATGTTTATTAGGACCCTACAAGATAAACAAGAAGGTGGGATGGTAGCATATCAACTTGAATTACTGAAGGAGTTAATAATACTTTCCACGAGTCCAATTTGAAGAAATGACTTCCGAAGAACACGTTGTTGTTCGGATTGAAGGAATCACGGTTAATGATAAGCTCAACTTCGTAAAACCCATGAAATGAGGATATGTTTATATTCAAGACATACGAACAATGGCATGTCATGACTTATTTTACACATAAGGCATGAAAGTTTTGTACATGTTATGTATGCCCATAAATATCCAACATATAAGATATTACTTGGAGGGACATCAAATGGACCTTACGAGACAATCTTTATGGACCCCAAAGTTAGCAAACCTCAATACAAGTATGCCATACTTATATATCGCAAGTGAAATCTGATAGAGTTTTAGTGAATTGATAAGTACCATTACAATTGTTTATTCATTAAACCTAATTACTCAATAAAGTAATATTGTTCTAATCAATTGAATTTTTTTTTGTTCATTATAAGCTATTGAGCTATGCTTTCGCTTGTATTTTATTTTAATAAGTTTTCTTTTTAATTATCTCGTTAATAAATTATATGATTTTTTAAATAACTTTATAATATATATATATATATATTTATATAATAATTTATAAAGTTTCATATTATAAATTAAAAGAATGAAAAATCACTTTCTATAAGCACCTTTATGATGGAGTTTTATTGAGATGGTTATTTGATTGAGGATGGAGAAAATAAAATATAAAAAGTGAAGTTTTAGGGATTCCACACCATTATAAATGGTCTAAATTTTTTTCTAATTTTTGATTTTTTTTCACATCATAAGGTAAACAACCTACTCAAAGCAGTCAGGAAAATTTTGTTCTAACCCCTTCAATAATGATTTTAAAAATTGGTTTCCAAAACAAAAATGAGATCAAAGGTTATTCCACTTTAATGCAATTTACCCTTTGATAATGTATATGGTTAGTTTTCAAGTGACATTGATTGAAAACTCATAACCAAATATTAGTAGACTAGCAATTTACCAATCAAAATAGATACCAACCATATTTTGATTGGTAAACTATTGGTTGGTATCTATTTTGATTGGTAAACTGGCCTGATTGAAAAAAAAAATAGCTTGCATCACTAAATACAAACTGCACCCTCGTACATAAAAATCCCCTTGTGGGTTTCAGAATTGCAAAATGACCAAAACTCAAGACTTTGATCCCTCCAACATTGGATAACAGATTTGACTCCACTCATCAAGAAAACCTTCTCAAGAGGATGAAGAATTGTTTGCTGAAAATTTCAAGTTACAGCACTTCATTTTCACAAGATGCATAAAGATGGTGACGTCTGAATAGGATTATAGTACACAACAAATCATCTATTTGACAGTTTTCGAAAACAGAAAACAGACATCAATCAATCTTTGTGCTTCCTGTCAAGATAGAAGAGTGAGGCAATCCATCAAAGTGTCAGTTTGGTCTGGTTTACCAACGGAAACACGAACATAACACTTCAGTTCTTTGTTGCTGTAGTGACGTATCATCACACCCATTTCCGCAAGGTCTTCCTGTAATTATCCAAATCACCTTTATATTATCAACAATAAAGAAGATTTCTATGAATATAACTCGAAAAATGAACTGCAATCCTTTCATCTCCAGATTGTAGTGACATGCCAATGCCAGTTCCAATCAAGTAGCATTGATTTCCAGATAGCAAACTAAGTCCTTGTTCAAAAGAATCACGAACCAAGACAAAGATACGAAGATGGAAAAAGAAAAAGCTCCTCCAAACACATGGACTGGCTGGTGTGGAGTGATTTTCATGTAATACTTCAATGGCTTCAAGAGTGTAACATATATTTCCCTAGGAGATGAAAAGGGCGGGTGGCCCCACCCTGAAACAAAGGTGTTCGTACATAAATAAAGAGACTAGTAGTACACAGAAGTCATGGATGATCATTTCCCTTCAGTGCCCTTTCGTTTGGACCCCTGGGTACCTTCTCCGCACTTAGCTGTAAGCATTTCAAGTAGATAAAGTCCAAAATCGTTTTAAAAGGATTTGTTTGCCGGCTCTAGTTTGGCGCATCATCTGTTAATTTTGCCATATGCTAAAGGTATGAATTATTTTATGCAAACTGCTCTGAACTTGACACATGTCCACTCCATTCATCAAGTAATTTAGTCGATTAATTCACAAATGTACACATGTAAGCCAAACCAAACAAGCCCAATATATCCCACTGGGAGGTTGGGCATAGGGGTTGTATGTATACCTAACCTCTACCCCGAAAGAGTACAGCAACTGTTTATTACGCAAGCTGCTTTAAAATTGTTTAATGTTTATTATATTATCTTCGCCGGGAAGGTCCAAGATTCAACCCTATGGGTACCATATATTAGACTAGGTGATTAAATTCCAATGGTCTAAACAGTTTATAATGTTAACTTAGGAATCAGATCTTATAACCATTGCTTCTGTCAAGTACTTGGCTAGTCAAACCAAACAAGTCCGATATATCTCACCCATAGGTGGGGTTAGAGGAGTGGGATGTACACAGAGTTGACATTTACCCCAAATAGCAAGTGCTTGTTACATGAAGAACCCGGTTTAATGCTATGTTATTAAATTGCATTCCGACATATCATTGACCATTGAGGTTTATGGTGGATAATCAAGTCAGATAGTTGCACTTGCTTGTATTTATTACGTCAGAACTTGGGAGAAGAGCTTTTTACCTATAGATCAATAAAGGATTAATATGAAATGATAACGGCATTCAGAACAATCAAGATGGAGAACATTGGAGGATGGATATTGAGCCTATAGACTTCCAGAAAAAGAAGTAAAGAAAACAACTCGTACCTTTAGCTTCTTAGCATCCCTTCCAGCAGTAACCTCGCAAAGAATAAAATTTGAATAGCTTGGGTATGGATTTAGAAATGGCACTTCTTTCAAAAGCTTATAAAGCCTCTCTCTTTCTTGTACTAGAGCAACTTTAACTTCCTGGTAATTTGAGATGTAGCTATATAAGTGATCAGGTAAAGAAATGATAAGGTTAACTTGATTGATAGCGTAACTAGGATATGAATCTGACAAGTGATATCTATTACCTCCAAATATGTGGGATTCTCCAATGCTGCACAAGCAGAAACTTCAGCAGCAACAGACACATTATATGGCTGTTTTGCCCTCCAGAGGTACTCGATAATGCTCAAAGGAAATGCTCCATAGCCCACTCGTAGTCCAGCTAGGCCTGTTTCCAATTCGATAAAAACCTCTCATACAATGTACAAAGCCAGGAATATAGAATAAATATACACACACCAACACAAACATGTGTCGGAAGACAAAATTACACGTATACATATATATATATATATATATATATAGAGAGAGAGAGAGAGAGAGAGAGAGAGAAGAAGTATTGACACATGTACATATTGAGAAATGAAGTTGATATATGAAATTGATACGATTAGTGTCTCAACAGCTAATTTTCCATAAGTTATCAAGATTGTACACATCGCTTATTAACTTCATAACATTAAAGGGTGAGCTAATGCATCAAAGCTCCTAGGCTTTGAGAAATGGTTTTTTTTTTGGGGGGGGGAGGGGGAGGTAATCTCTGTTTGCAGCCTTCCCCTAATATATTGTAAAAAGAGGTTCTGTCAGTGACTCAAATAGAATAACGTTACCAACTACCTGGTATGGTACAAGTGCCCTACCTTGAAGCAATGGGAGTAGCAGGAAGGGCCCATTGATATGTTGTACGAGTCCAGCTTGATATTTAAAGTATGAAGTAAAGTAGGTTGCAGGTTATGCGCATCTGGAATATCTGAGAAGGTGCTCAAGAGCATCAGAAGCACAAGTTGAGCTGGAGGATGCGATCAAAGAGGCATCTAGGTTGCAACTACAGAGCAATGTGATTAAGGGAATATCAACAGTCAACAACTATGCTGTTAATCGCACCGCTATAGCAGTGCAATGTGGTTAGCGGTCATGGGACAAATAGCGGTCCCGCGATTAGCGGCGCTATTGACAGCTAAATGACTGCATTTTGAACAAAAAAAAGCAGTCGCATAACCGGTATATGTAGATAGGTAGTTTAGGACTTGCATTCGTTTTATTTCAACCTACCAATATCAAGGCTTCATTATTCTTATTTTTTTGGATGAAGACACCATTATTCTTTTTTTTTTTTTTTGGATTTGGACACCATTACTTTGACCTCTTGATTTGAATAAAAGTATTCACATTGTTCAATTATTTTACTTGGACATCATTATCCTCATATATTTTTTATTGGATAAATAAAATATGTTGAGTTATGTATGCATACATATAATTCTAATTATTATATGAACCACTATTTTTAGACCGCTTTACCATTGCGATAACCGCTATTTTAGATCACGGTCCTGAGCGCGATTTCATATTTTGACTGCTGTAACAGCATAGGTCAGCAACTATTTGGGATAGATCGAAACCGAAATATCATAATAATTGGAACGAACCAGTAAGAGTCATGTGATATGAAAAATGAGACTCAGACTATAAAATGGAAGCATAAGCTTTAGTAAAATGTCGTTTAGAAGGTCTGTATGCCTTTAACCCTGWTGAACAGCATGAGGATGAATAACTGGATGAAACTAATACAATATTTTTAGGAAGGGGTGTTCACAAGACGWAAGAGGGAAAAGGCATTGGGTTTCGTAGATAGAAGGTGGAGGAGATACATGGCATGGACATAAAAACACAACCAAATATCTTGAGTGACGTGTAACAGAACACTAAAGAAAGAAACATAGAAATAAATCAATGATATACAACCTACATCGAACAAGTGACTATTCTTGCATTCAGCAATATCGTTCTCCTAAGATACATAAGCACATGAAGACTCATGCAAGAGTCCATTTTCAGAACTCAGTACTGGAATACTCCTTGACATTGTCAATATGAAGACTTTTAAAATTAACACCAAATTAATTTATGCCATATGCACTAAATTTTCGCTAGATGGAAAAGATTCCACCAAAAAACTCCTTGGTACATGGGTTTCACACATCAATAAACTCTGTGGTACATGGATTTCACACATCAATAAACTCTGTGATACATGGGTTTCATGCATCAAAGTGAACTAACTGAAAGCAAGAACTAACATAACTCTTGACWTTAAGCAGTAAGAAACAAAGCTTCACCTAGATGGCATGACTCATAAGACATTCAGAAACATTGGAATTATAATTAAAATTTCTTCAGAGGGGTTGCTAAATGATGCCCCAATTTGACACTTAGCTTCCTTGATGTTATAGCACATTGTTTCACATTAGATGTCGACCAACAACTTGATSCACATCAGATGGAGTMTCAACAATTCAGAGAAAATATATAGGGCTTTTCCACTATCAACCACATGGTTCAAAAAGGTTATTGGCTTTTGAGCCCAGTGACCCTGCCTTGGCACTAATTATCATCTCATGAAAGTCAGCCTCTTCCAAAAATTCTTTTAACCTTCTCAATAGCMCAGTTCCGGCTTCCACCGGCCCCATCAATAGTGCCAGAAAAATAATGACCTCCCCAACTTATCCTCCTTTATTTACACCATATTACTAACTGCCACTTCGATTGACTACAAGTTATAACAATAACCACCTCCAAATAATATTTGCCTTTTTCAATAAGCTAAAAAAATAAGTTCGCTTATGGTTGCCTTGTCCAACATGCACTATAAAGTGCTATATGGGAGTAATCAAGGTTTTAAAGAAYGGAAACGAGCCTCAAGGCGTTTTCTCGAGGTTTTAACTAGAAAGTGCTAAATATACTTSTATGTAGCAGGCTAGAATAGTTGTAAGTACAAGGAAGTTCAAAAACATAATATATATACTTATGTAGCATATACACAAAAACAGAATATAATACATATATATATGTATATATACATGTTCATAGCATATATTTAATACATAATATAGATATACATAAATGTAGGAGCAGGTTCAAAGAAAATACTTGTATGTAACAGTTGGTACAGGTCTCCAATGCAGCAGGTTGTAATGAGAAGAGAAGAAGTTGTGAGGTTGTATGAGGAAAAGTCGTAAGGTCTGAAAAAGAGAGCTGCCATTTTTGTTTGTTATAAAAATATAATAGTAGGGTTTTGACCTTTTTAGTCATTTATTTAAATTAAAGAAAACACATCCACGTGCAGATGGATAATAGAGGTATCAATAACCCACTAAAAGTCCAACGCACTAAAACTCTAATGCACTAAGACTCTAACCCACTAGAATGCTACCCCATTAAAAACCGGGTGCATCTTCATCGTTTCACAGCTTCACCAATTCTTCACCGCCTCACACTTGTAAGGCATATGCATCATCAAYACAAGAAAAGGCGACGCCTCAGACGTTTATGGGCCGCCTCAATGAAACATAAGGAGCCATTAGCTATCTAGCCAAACATAGGAATGATACGAAGATGAAATATCAAATAGAGATGGTGTTAACCCAACTAGTATGATCACATGCTCTTAAATCACTTTTCCATGAGGCGCAAATAGAGCAAGGAAATGAGGTACCTAATAATGTTTAGCACTAAAAGTCGGAAACACCAATCCTCTAAGGGTATTCAGAGTCCGGTAGATTATAGAGACGGAAGACCAGTAGAGGTGGTGGGCATGTCAGCCCGCAAAAGAGGAGAAGTAATCGATATTGGATGAAGAGGCGGAGACAAGGATCCCTCAAGGGTAATTAGAGCAATCCCACTTTAAAAAGCCAAACTCTTGCAAAAGTGAAGTTGAAACTTCTTTTCTCAATATCCTCCTTGACCTCCTCTTCCAGTGAAGCAAGATCCCCAGGCAGCAAAGGCGAGGCTTGGCATCAYGTCCAGATAGTGTCTTAGTCRAACACATCTTACTAAGAAACGTAAGCCAAGATGAGGCATAACGAGGTTATACACCTCTATTAAAGGTAGGAACAGAAGCGACACATATAGGCTAAATAGTAGGCTGATGTCTGAGGATGATGAAGGCCAAGGCAGTCAACTGATGTGGGAGCAGCGTAGCCAAGGCAACAGCGACAGACAGCCATTAACTTGAGCCATGCAATAGACAGTGGCAATGGTGGTCAACTTATATGGGAAGCTTGGAGACCACAAACCTAAAAATGAACTTAATACCATGTAATATAGTTTTAAATATGTGACTCCTCCATTAATGAATAAAAGAAAATTTATAGGGAAGATATGAGCCTTTGAGCCAACTTAAAAAACAAGACAGCAAAACCTTAACATCTATAAAATATATATGTACATAACCAAAACCCAACCAAGGTTATCATAACTAGCAAGTATCATTAGTGTTTCAAGAATGACATTTTCAATGCAAGTGTGGACAATGTTTCAAGAAGGGATTTACAACTCATAACCCATAAACAAACTACAATAACTCATTTCTTTCAGAAGGAGAATCACTTACCACAAAGAATCTAACAGGAAACACTCAACCAATCATTAGAAGCAAGGTGAAAGAATACCAATCTTGGAGGCCTTCTAAATTTATAGATGTGTTTGGCTGACTCATATGTCTAATAATTACTAAAGTCAGTACTGTTATACTCTAGAAGTTTCGCTAGGAGTAAAGAGGTAGAATGGGGAGTAGTTTTAGTAAGAGAATTTTGGGAGTGGGAGTATTCTGTTACAAGGGGTAAAAAGGGAAAAGTGGCTTTAAGAGTATGTTAAATAGGTGTGAGTAGAAGTGGGAAGAAAGATTCTGTTTTGGTGATTAAATTGGCGTGAGCCGTGGGAGAGCCCAGCCTCTCAAATGCTGGTTTACCTTCTTGTATTCATCAATTTTACTAGCGGGAATCATAGGCAATCCAAAGCATTCTGCTAATTTGTGTATAGGAGTACACCAATTGCTATCAAGAGCTAGGTTTGAATGGGGACGATAACCAGAAGCATCACGACTCATGTGGATGAAATGG